GGCACTTTCTGCTCAGGAACAGCCTCGGGGGGCCTTAAGTCAAAGGCTCGGAAGGCCGACTGCACGAAGTCGTGGCCCACGCCATGGACAGAGGTATGCACGAACTTGACCTTGGTCTCCCTGTTCACATGCCTAGGATCAGACACACCACGGGAAATGATGAAATACATACAGACTGATCAGGAGCCAGGAGAGTGGGCAGCATTTCAAGGAACTAGATTCTTCAGAGTGTCAGGAATGATGTAATAGGAACAGTCAAGAAAGCAAGGTACCTCTCTGCTAACAGAAAATGAAGTACCAGACACTTGCCCGCCTCCACCACCCACCACATCAGCTTCAAACCTTATCAGTAAACCTGAGTGTGGTCAGGTTTTGATTCAGAGGAGCTTTCACATCTCCAGTCTCCAGTCACCGCCACGGGGTTGATGCCAACACACAGCCACCCTACAGGACTGGGTAGATCGGCTCAGTTTTGAGACTTCTACTCTTTGTGGGAGCAGAACGCCTCGTCTTTGTCTAATGAAGCCACTGGTGGGTTCACACCACTGACCTTGTGGTCAGCAGCCTACACTGCCACCAGGGCTGCTTTAACTCACTGCCAACAAGTCGATGCCAACTCACAGCCAGACTAGAGGACAGGGTAGAACTGCCCCTGTAGGTTTCTGAGACTGTAACTCTTTACAGAAGTAGAGAGCTGCATCCTTCTCCTGAGGGGCAACTGGTGGTTTCAAACCTCTGACGTTGCGGTGAGTGGCCCAACACCTAACTGCTATACCACCAGAGCACCTAAAAGCTCCGTTAGGGTGGGAGAAACCGAAGAAACTCAGGGCTCAAACTCCAGGACAGGCTTCACTTTGGGCTCAGCAAACATCCCCACCCAGTAGGACCAGCTCCAGGGTGCCAGCACTTTTACCAGCTTCAAAACTAGTGGTTCAAAACAGCTCTTTTAAGACAATGTGACGGAATATCCACAAGTGGATACGTTTAAAAACAAACAAAACCCCTGCTCTCCCTTTGCCAAGTGCGAGTCCTGCTCAGCCAGCAGTATGCTTCAGGCCTCATTACGAGCCTTGTGGTCCTTTGGAGTTTGCCTTGGGCAACTGTTCCACAACATGGGCAGGTCAAACCCACCAGCTGCCCTTTTGTATCTCTGAGACGGTAACTGTTTATGGGAGTAGAAAGTCTCGTCTTTCTCCAAAGAGGAACTGATTGTTTTGAACTGCCAACCTTGCGGATCACAGCCCAATGCATAACCACTATTCCACCGGCGCTCCCTATGGCACCTAAAATTTCTAGTAAGACATCAAAGAAAATGTCAGTGTTGAATAGTCAACGGCTTTCAGTGGGGTTTTTTCATACACCTGAGTCGGGATCAACTGGATGGCAGTGAATAGTGAGCGAGACACACATGCACACATATATTACACCCGCACATATGCACACACGCATGCACACACAGCAGATGACCTGTTTGTATCAATCCAGTTCTCTGGGACACGGCCTACACACACACAGTCCTGCACGGATATACTGTCTACAGTGGATTTCAGGCCACAAGCATGGAGCAGAGTGGCTACAGCAGAGATACCATTGACTACCTGACCCGGTAAGAAAATGCCTGCTCATCCCCGCGCAACGGCATTTAACATCAAGTGCAGCTGCAGTCTATGTCCAATTAAAGACAAATTAAGTGCAAACGGGCCAAAGTTGGCTGAATAAAATAATCTCAGTCACCCACATAGTGGTTATGAGTTGGGCTGCCAACCTGGAGGCTAGCAGTTTGAAACCGTGCGTGGCTGCACAGGGGAAGATAAGGCGCTCTACTCCCCTAAAGGGCTGCAGTCTCCTGAAACCCCCAGGGCAGGTCTACCCGTCACCACGAATCAGAATCGACTTGGTGGCAATGAGTTTGTGGTTTTGTCGTAAGGTTGTGAAGACACAATCCATTGACCTTACCTGTGGAAACAGTATTTCTGGAGGTCTTCAAAGTAGCCTTTGTTGATGGCAGTACTGGGGTCGTGCAGAAGCGGGCTGCTGTCGATTAAAGAAACATCCCACGCTTGGGGCCAGGGCTCCAAGTTTTCTTCAATAGCTTGAGAAATCCCTTTATCGTGAGGCGAGATGATCTGGGCTCCATTCTCCCAGTAGACCTAGAGGAGGCAGGGCCACGTCAAAGAGGCGTAGGGCTCGGGTAAAAAACAGAAAGCACCAGCCACCTATGTCCCCGCACACTCAGTATGTACGATTATAAATCAGGAAATCAATCTGGAAACAAAAATACCTTATAGCCATTATCCTGCTTTGGATTGTGAGACGCGGTTATCATGATCCCAGCGCAAAGGCTCAGGTGGGACACGGCGTA